ATCACTGACATATACCATCAAAACATTGACATATACCATCAACACACTGACATATACCATCAAAACACTGACATATACCATCAAAACACTGACATATACAGTACCATCAAAGCACTGACATATACCATCAAAACACTGACATATACCATCAAAACACTGACATATACCATCAAAACACTGACATATACCATCAAAGTACTGACATATACCATCAAAACACTGACATATACCATCAAAACACTGACATATACCATCAAAACACTGACATATACCATCAAAACATTGACATATACCATCAAAACACTGACATATACCATCAACACACTGACATATACCATCAAAGCACTGACATATACCATCAAAACACTGACATATACCATCAAAACACTGACATATACCATCAAAACACTGACATATACAGTACCATCAAAGCACTGACATATACCATCAAAACACTGACATATACCATCAAAACACTGACATATACAGTACCATCAAAGCACTGACATATACCATCAAAACACTGACATAGACCATCAAAGCACTGACATAGACCATCAAAGCACTGACATATACCATCAAAACACTGACATATACCATCAAAGCATTGACATAGACCATCAAAGCACTGACATATACCATCAAAACACTGACATATACCATCAAAACACGGACATATACCATCAAAGCATTGACATATACAGTACCATCAAAACACTGACATAGACCATCAACACACTGACATAGACCATCAACACACTGACATAGACCATCAAAACACTGACATAGACCATCAACACACTGACATATACCATCAACACACTGACATATACCATCACAACAATGACATATACCATCACAACAATGACATATACCATCAACACACTGACATAAATCATACGATGGGATATCCAAATTTGTCTTTTTAGATTATCTCTTCAACAGTGGAAACACATATATATACGATGAATATGTCCGACCTCTTCCAAATTTCTATTTGGAAGAGGTCAGTAAATTTCTCACTGTGTATTGCTGATAAATAACGCTATAACTGATGTGTCCTACTGTGTATGTGCTTGTGTGTGTCTGTGTGTGTGTGTGTCCGTGTGTATGTGTGTGTGTATGTGTGTGTGTCCGTTTGCTTGTGTGTGTGTGTCCGTTTGCTTGTGTGTGTATGCGCAGGTGCGAGGCTATGACTTTAAAGCAGACATATGGAGCTTTGGAATCACAGCCATAGAGTTGGCCACCGGCTCGGCCCCGTACCACCGCTACCCGCCCATGAAGGTGAGTCTTCTGGCTCCGACTTCAGTCTATTCTGTTTGACAAAGACGCACAAAAACCCCGACTGACGAGTGAAAAAAAGTTTGTTTGGAGGAGCTTGGAAAAAACGTAAACAGATCCTAAAATCCAGATATGATCCTATAGCTTGGCCAATCAGGAGCCTTCTATTGCTGAATTTGGTTTTAGTTAGCGAGTAGAGCAAGACAGGCGCTGCTCCTGATTGGCTCTTCGTAACTTCCGCCGTTGCTACCCACAACATCTACAGTACATACATTTGGCTTTTCATTTCCGCTGAGATCTCCGGTTCAAGATAGATCCAATCCTTTTGCATTAAGGCAGTGTGTTAAATGTTAGCGTTGTGTGTGTTTGGTGTTCAGGTCCTCATGCTGACGCTGCAGAACGACCCCCCCAGCTTGGAGACCGGTGTGGAGGACAAGGAGCTGGTGAAGAAGTACGGAAAATCCTTTAGGAAACTTATCTCCATGTGCCTTCAGAAGGACCCTGCCAAACGGTGAGGGCTGAGACCAGAAAAAACCCGGTCCAGATCCACACGGAGGCCTGGCTTCATGCTGTGTGTTTTTGTGTGTGCAGGCCCACCTCTGCAGAGCTGCTCAAGTGCAAATTCTTCCAAAAGGCCAAGGTATCACTCCACACCTGCAAATGTTACTCTTATTACGATTATTGTGAGGCTGTAAGGACGGTATAGTACTGGCAGGACCCAAAGTAAAGCTGGGGTACCTCACCGTTTTCATTAAAGGAGCAGTATGTAAAATTCTGGCCAAAAGTGGTACTGCAACCCCTTCACTCTCCCTGACTCAGGTTGCCAGATATGCAGACGAATCCAGCTGGGACCATAACAGCTGAATAGACAAGAGTTTTGTCAACGGCAAATCTATAACCAACACCTTTTTTACAAAGATGAAAGTTTTAATCCTTGTTTTGTCGTTAATGATTTGAGAATCATAACGAGACCTTTTTTTGTTCTGCGCCACATGGTACTTTACCAGTGAGATTAGCTCCACGCGGTGAGTTCTGGCGCCCGGTTCACAGACTTTCTGATTGGTAAAACGGTGGAGGGCAGGACATTGAAATGAAAACAAGATTTAGGGGCTGTAAAACTAATTTTGAAATCTAAATATCTCTAAACTATTGTTATCAGTTAAAGACGTATTGGAAAAGAGCAGGTTTTATTAAAGCCTTTTGACAGATTAGGGCCCTTTAATGATGACTTGACATAAAAATCTTACACATTGCTACTTTGAATAATACACACGTTACCAGAAGAAATAGTAAAAGTAAAATATTTATCACAACACGCTGTCTACATCTTATCTCATCTAGGCTGCGAGCTGATTGGCTGGGTGAGATTGGTAAGATCAGCGGAACTTTCCTGTTTAACCTTTTAAGAAATCACCTGACAGTTGTATTTATTTTAAGTCAGAGGAAAGCTGTTGTGTCTTGTGTGCACCGCTGTGATTGGTTCAGAGGACAACAATGGTCTTCCTGTAGCCCTCAGCCCGTTGTCCTCTGCAGCTGTATTTGACTGTGTATGCACGGCTTTTGACAGCTGCAGCAGCGCTCAGACCCTCTCCGCGGCCGCACTTCAGCAGTCGTGAGTTCATGTGGTTAGAAAAGTGCATAAAGTGTGTGAGGGTTTTTACAGCCTTAAAACACACAGCTGCTACTTCAAATATTTCACTTATTGTGGGTTATTTTTAGAACAGTCTTTATTTAAAGGGACAGTGCACAGTAGCATTAGGCTCAAAGACAGATACGTTCTGCACCAGATTATAGCTACGCAGTCTGCAGTCCCTGGTTACATGTATAAAACTAATACACAACACTATGACAATACATTACAGTAACCATACAATAACATAAACAAGCCTCACACTTATATCTCACAGACAAAACTTCTCTCATTTGTATAAAATCACTAATCATAAAATCCATACATTCCATATACAGTCCACAGTCACATATTCTCACATATTTACATCATACTAGCCTGGACTAACTCCGGTCAATTATAATTTCCATACATGTACGTCTGGGTCTGATCTTAGCAGTGGCTGCGGTTACCTGTAAAGCTAGGCTACATGCCTCAGTACATAGAGCCACCTCAGTACATAGAGCCACCTCAGTACATAGAGCCACCTCAGTACATAGATCCACCTGAGTACATAGATCCACCTCAGTACATAGAGCCACCTCAGTACATAGAGCCACCTCAGTACATAGAGCCCCCTCAGTACATAGAGCCCCCTCAGTACATAGAGCCACCTCAGTACATAGAGCCACCTCAGTACATAGAGCCACCTCAGTACATAGATCCACCTGAGTACATAGATCCACCTCAGTACATAGAGCCACCTCAGTACATAGAGCCCCCTCAGTACATAGAGCCCCCTCAGTACATAGAGCCACCTCAGTACATAGAGCCACCTCAGTACATAGAGCCCCCTCAGTACATAGAGCCCCCTCAGTACATAGAGCCACCTCAGTACATAGAGCCATCTCAGTACATAGAGCCACCTCAGTACATAGAGCCCCCTCAGTACATAGAGCCCCCTCAGTACATAGAGCCACCTCAGTACATAGAGCCATCTCAGTACATAGAGCCACCTCAGTACATAGAGCCCCCTCAGTACATAGAGCCCCCTCAGTACATAGCGCCACCTCAGTACATAGAGCCACCTCAGTACATAGAGCCACCTCAGTACATAGAGCCACCTCAGTACATAGAGCCCCCTCAGTACATAGAGCCCCCTCAGTACATAGAGCCACCTCAGTACATAGAGCCACCTCAGTACATAGAGCCCCCTCAGTACATAGAGCCACCTCAGTACATAGAGCCATCTCAGTACATAGAGCCCCCTCAGTACATAGAGCCCCCTCAGTACATAGCGCCACCTCAGTACATAGAGCCACCTCAGTACATAGAGCCACCTCAGTACATAGAGCCACCTCAGTACATAGAGCCACCTCAGTACATAGAGCCACCTCAGTACATAGAGCCCCCTCAGTACATAGAGCCACCTCAGTACATAGAGCCACCTCAGTACATAGAGCCACCTCAGTACATAGAGCCATCTCAGTACATAGAGCCCCCTCAGTACATAGAGCCACCTCAGTACATAGAGCCACCTCAGTACATAGAGCCCCCTCAGTACATAGAGCCCCCTCAGTACATAGAGCCCCCTCAGTACATAGAGCCCCCTCAGTACATAGCGCCACCTCAGTACATAGAGCCACCTCAGTACATAGAGCCATCTCAGTACATAGAGCCACCTCAGTACATAGAGCCCCCTCAGTACATAGAGCCCCCTCAGTACATAGAGCCACCTCAGTACATAGAGCCCCCTCAGTACATAGAGCCCCCTCAGTACAGCCCCTCATACAGAGCCCCCTCAGTACATAGCGCCACCTCAGTACATAGAGCCACCTCAGTACATAGAGCCACCTCAGTACATAGAGCCACCTCAGTACATAGAGCCATCTCAGTACATAGAGCCCCCTCAGTACATAGAGCCCCCTCAGTACATAGCGCCACCTCAGTACATAGAGCCACCTCAGTACATAGAGCCACCTCAGTACATAGAGCCACCTCAGTACATAGAGCCATCTCAGTACATAGAGCCACCTCAGTACATAGAGCCCCCTCAGTACATAGAGCCCCCTCAGTACATAGAGCCACCTCAGTACATAGAGCCCCCTCAGTACATAGAGCCCCCTCAGTACATAGAGCCCCCTCAGTACATAGCGCCACCTCAGTACATAGAGCCACCTCAGTACATAGAGCCACCTCAGTACATAGAGCCACCTCAGTACATAGATCCACCTCAGTACATAGAGCCACCTCAGTACATAGAGCCACCTCAGTACATAGAGCCACCTCAGTACATAGAGCCATCTCAGTACATAGAGCCCCCTCAGTACATAGAGCCCCCTCAGTACATAGCGCCACCTCAGTACATAGAGCCACCTCAGTACATAGAGCCACCTCAGTACATAGAGCCACCTCAGTACATAGAGCCACCTCAGTGTCCCTGTGAGCAGCTTTGTTTGCTCCCTGCCACTAAACGTAACTGTGAACGTAACCCCGGCGCTAAACCAGGGACCCACCGTATCACGATGTGCCATAACGGTGACCTGTGAAAGGCATCCTGTCCCACGTGCGCGGACACACTCGTGCTTCTGTACCTTTGATACGGCCCTCGGCTTCTCTCAAACCTCTTAAGAGCAGAATGAAGGCGCGCTGAAACCACAGTGTCGACAGCCGCACAATGAGTCGTTCATGGCGAGGCTCCGAGCACGTACTGTTCCGGCTTCCTCTGACCTCCCTCTCACCTTCTCGTTATGTTCCTCTGTGTGACCTGTGTTTTGTTTTTTCTCCCGCAGAACAAAGAATATCTGGCAGAACGGCTTTTGAGTCGAGCACCAAAGATTTCCCAGAGGTCAAAGAAGGTACGCATCACTGTAGACACAACACAAAATAATAATAATAATAATGATTATAATGATATAATAATAATAATAATAATGCATCAGTTTTATATAGCGCTTTTTTGGACACTCAAAGACGCTTCACATGTTTCATTATTCATTCACTCCATACACAGTGGTGATAAACTACTACTGTAGCCACAGATGCCCTGGGGCACACTGACAGAAGCGAGGCAACCAGTATGTGCCATCGGCCCCTCTGACCACCACCAACCATTCACACACACCAGACTCATTCTAGGCAATGGGGGTGAAGTGTCTTGCCTGAGGACACAACAGCAGTTTGGCACTTTACAGCCGCAGCCGCCCCACTGTGGCTGGTGTTCCCAGAGGTTAAGTGTCTTGCCAAGGATATAATACATTGAACTTATATAGCGCTTTTTTGGACACTCAAAGACGCTTTACAAAACATATAAAAAAACATAGAAGAGCAAAATTAAGGAAAGGCTGAAAAAGGTGCGTTTTGAGGAGTAATTTAAAGTTCTGTGGTGAGTGGGAGTTCCGGATGGTAGTGGGAGTGGGGGCGGCTGCGGCTTTGTCCTCCGAGGTTGGAGTCTGTGGATCTGAAGAACTTTGTTGATTTTAGTTTTAATAGACAAGAGCGCCATCTACACTAGAGTTTCGTTCGGGCCTGAAAAAATAAAGCCCGACCCGGCCCGAGCCCGTACAAGCCCGACCAATTAACGCTGTATAACAGGCCCGAGCCCGATAGAACCCGACACATCTGATTTCCCTTGTTGTGCGCACTCACCTTCCAATTGCAAGTTTAGCCACTTCTGAATGTGTTTTGTACGTCCACCTGATCCATTTCTGTTAATGTTCCGTGTGTTCACTGTTGACCGTAGCATTCAGCAGGAAAAACAGGGATGATGCGTTCACGGCCTGCTGCGGCTGTAGGACACGCTGGTTACGGTGTTATAAATATATCAACTTTTTTAATAACTTGTTGTCAATCAACGGACATTATTATTAATAAATAAATATATGCATATCATTATGTATAAAAATCATTAAATAATAATAATGATTTAAAAAATCTAAAATAACAAAAATAAAAAGGAGCCCGAGCCCGGCACGGCCCGACTGCTGAGCGCTGAAATGAAACGAGCGAAACGCCAATCTACACGTCATCTCTGGAAATGTACAAAAACACAAAGGAGCAGTATGTAAATATGTGGCCAAAAGTGGTACTGCAGCCTCTCCCACTCTCCCTGACTCAGGTTCCAGATATGCAGACGAATCCAGCTGGGACCATATTATCTTTATCATAATATCTGAATAGACAAGAGTTTCCTCCAGGTGCTGCGGTTTCCCCTATCACTATAAACATGTACAATAGTTCAAGATGTATTTGTAAATGCACTGTTCCAACCAAATAGAACAATAAATAATATTTGACCCAGAATTTCCAGTCACTGACCATAACATTACCGCTCCCTCCTTTCTCCAAACTGAAATTCCCGGCTTTCCTAACAGTAGCCGTAACCAGAGCCGTGTCCTTGTCTTTTGTGCTGATTTGGCGCCCGCTCTCTGCACTCAGCGGATATTGGGGACAGGGTTTTCATCTCAGCGGCCGGAGCTCATAACCTTTTCTCTGAGGGGAGGGTCCTGCAGGCGCTTTGTTGTGGCCCTTGTGTGTCCTGGCTCTGCTCTTTCATGAGGCAAAGGTCGATCTGACCCCCTCCTAGCTCTAATGTGGGCCACAGACGCAGA